GGCGTCGGCACATGGCTAAGAGGTGGTGGCCTATTGCTTGGAAGTTGGGCCAACACTGCCAGAAGCTCCTGCCTTCTTTTTTTTTGGAGTCTATATCCAACTCACCAATTGGTTGTATAATGGGGGACGAGTAGCCCCTTGTTATGTTATATTTATTTTACAAAGGAAACAATGCCGTTTCAAGTTTCAACTTTATCAGCTTTTTTTTTGTTTTTCTCGAGTCTAAAATGACGTTGCTTTGGGTTGGGTGTTTAAAAAAAAAAAGGAATAGCAGCAGGGAAGATTGCAGGTTTTTCGTGCAGGTTCAGAGGAATTAAAAGGTGGATTATTGCTTTTAGGGTTGATTTCCGACGACAGAAGGTGTAGCCGCGCCTTCTTATGCCTCTGTATAGCTTTGTTGGCAAATGTAGTCAACCCAACTCTTTTTTTATACCTAATTATATGTAGTTATTGACCCTAAAAACTACTTAGCCTATGTGGCGCGTAGGATGAGTAACTAAGGAGCTAACTACGTCATTCGGTTGAATGCGAGACGTGTCAACTTGTCAGTCGAGTTCGGCCGGGGAGTAAAATGAATGTTGTTGTGGTGTTGGGTGTGCTACTGACTTCTTGATCTCGCGATTGTGGCCGAGGAAGGAACATGTCTCGGCCTTCGAGTTCGAGAGTCTGAAGACAAGGTTGCTAGTTTTGCGAAGTTCAATATCAAATTCGGCTTTCAGTGTGCCGAATGTAATAACCTGGTAACACCTTACTTCGCCGAGAAGGTTGATGAGATAACCTCTTCCAACAAGGACTCGGAAATCCTTGTCGACGGAGACTTGGATAAATAACCAGTCGGTCTCGAGCAGTTTATCCAAACTTAAGGTGTTCCTCGGTCGGCTAGTTTTACGGCTCCAGTACTGTTTGTCTAAACTGATGATGTTGCCGGTTGCCTCCACAATGCTGTTTATCCAAATTAAAGATGTGTTGGCGGGGAAAAAGAAAATAAAAATCTCAAGATGTTTGATAGGTTTGCGTATGACAGTTGTGTGTTGAATTGGAGGGGTTTTGAATGATGCATCCCTCCTCTCTATTTATAGTAGCGATTTCCCAAATACCGAACTAGAACTTCACTCGGACGGAAGTCCTCATCCCAGTCCAACTTGGCCTCGACCAATCCTAACCTCTATAGGACTCTAAACCAAGCTCTTTAATCATTTAATTCATCCATTGAATTTCGGCATCTTTTCTGATCTAGAAGCTTTTAACCTCTAAAGAATCCCTCTTGTATTACGATTCGACCATCTTACCTTTATCCAGGCGGAAATCATATTCTGATAGGACTCAATTGAACTCAAATGGGCTCGACCCATGGTAAGATATTCTCGATACTTCTTATTGGATCGAGACTCCAGGTTCGGCCCAAAATACCATTTTGAGCCCAAACAGTAGTATATTCATTCAACAGAAAAGAAATCTTAAGATATACCTCTAACATCGATCTACTTAAGATATATTCATTCAACTTAAATAACTTCATATGTCATGCACTATGCATACCTAATTAATTTGGCTTTTGATTACATAACCAAAATTGACTTCCATTGCATTAGGACGAGAAAATTCGACCATGCAATATTTTACTTTATCCATCCAAAAGGTTTTTCTTTTTCCCCTTATTTTCAACGTAGCTAGATTTCTAGAGCAAACCGACCAATTTAATTTAATCAAAGGACATAAATCTAATCTAAAAAAATCCCAAACTGTTGGCGTGATTTAAGAGCAAACTCCTAATTAATTAAAAAGAAAATTAATGAAAAGAGTTTGAAAATTTTGAGTTTTAACGAAAATGACAAAATAAAAGATAAAATGAATAGTACCATGATTGACTTTTTAGTGTAACAATATGGTTTTTCGTTAAAGTAAACAGTACCGGGAACTTTTCGTTAAAATTCCCTTTAAATTGCCAATCCAATCCCTTCTCTCTGCCAAAGGGAACAGATTGATGGAGGAGCATAATTAAACCTTAATTAGATTTAGTTTCATGGTGGTTTCAAAGGACAATGTTACAAAGATCCAATTTTTTAAAACCAAATTTGTAAATCAAATGATGTGATTGTTGATGATTGAATTATTACTTAAGTGTTGATTAACGTACTTATTTACTATTAGTGACACGTAATTTGATTTGCAAATTTGATTTACTAGATAATGCTAGGAAGACTTGAATTTTAAACCAAATTTACAAATCAAATGATGTGTCACCAATAGAAAATAAGCACGTTAATTAACGCTTAAGTAATAATCCAATCATCAACCACCACCTCATTTAATTTGTAAATTTAACTTAAAAATTTTAGTCTCTCTAATATTATCTTTAAAATTTTGATATTCCTAACATTACTCCTTCTCAATGCTCATAATTAGAGGACTCACAATCCTTGCTGCCACCTGGCAAAGCAGTCATGCACGTTTGTGGCTTTAAATTTCATTTTTTTTTATTCTTTATCTACTTTCTCTTTTTTTTTTTTTTTTTTTTTTTCAAACAGTCGCACCGCCTAATCACCGATACACGTTCACAAGTGGACAGTTTGCTAGTGAACAAGTATGGTGTAACCACCAGCTCCATTTTGGAGGTGATTCTGCCACCTGGCTGATATGCAGCCGTTGATATCTGTGTGGACCACCAAGATCTCTAACGTGGTGGCCGTGATGCCTTTGATTATTTGTTAACGTGGTAGCCGGTGATGCCTTTGATTATTTTGTGGAATATTTTTGTTATGAAATCATGCGTGTTACAGAGAGATTCAAAGTTTCGACAAAGCGTTACTCTCAAACTTTAAATGTGTTGTTTACCTTTACTCCTTTCGTGTACCCTAAGCATTGAAAACTTTCAACACCTAATTTGCTGGAGAAACTAGATAGCTAGGGGCAGATCCATTCATGAATTCAGGTGGTCTGGGGATAACTAATAAGTTTTGAAGAAGCGCCTATGAGGATTTTTGAGAATCACCCTATTGTCTGGCCAAGTGATGGAAGAGAGAAGACCGGCACGACTATGCATATGTTGTGCAACATAAGATTTGAACCAAGAACAAGAACTAATTTCAAATGAAGAGGAACAAGGAGAAGCCAATTGTGGTTCTGCTGTTTTTGGACCTTGGTTCCAACAAAGAAGAAAGACTTTATCTCTTCATTTCCCAAGTGACCAACTCCCTATTTTTTTTATTCTGATTTTTTTTAATTATTGTTCAATCATGTTGTGCCACCTAGCATTTTAATTAATAAAGGAATGGTGTATTACTCAATCAATACTTTTTATATCATATGTTTGACACGTTATTTTTATTTAATTTCACTATAAATTCATATGATATCTGAAAAATATTTCGTAAAGTATTACGAACTCGTAATCACTTGAACTTTCATCTCATACCATCAAATTCACTAAAATACTATTTTTGTATGTTATATGTTAAATAATAAACCTAATTAAAATATAACCCAAATTCTCAATACAAGTATAGTCTTATTTAAGTGTAAACAGACACTTATTCATATGATAATAAACTTACTTAAATCCACCTAGGCCCCATCTTGACGCTAGGCCTCAGCTCGCTGCCTGATTAGCACCTAACATACCTTGATTGGGATTACTTGATGTTAGAATTCTGGATCAGCCATTGACAAGGTTTACTTAATTAATTCAAATATGCACCAATTTAGCCAAATTATACTCGAAGTACTGTTGTTATAGAAAATGACTTACACGAAATAAGTTCACTGTCAAGTGGCTTTCTATTCTAATAATGCATTGTTATGCATACGCTTCTTTCTACATAACCATATATTTTTACAACGGAATATCACAATAACTCTGAATCTATTTCATGTTAATTAGTCTCATTTTCATGGCCACATAATTAATTCAAAAATGTTATTCTTACTATCTATTTGTATCATCTCTATAATATAAATGAGACATACATACGTTGGTGGCCTCTACCTTGATTAGAAAGATTGTGAAAATAATGATATAAATAGATATTCAGTGTAATACTACTCTACTATATTCCAATTTAAGAAGAGATCGATTAATTATAGGGAACTTTAACGAAAAGCACCTGGTACTGTTCACTTTAACTAAAAACCACATTTTTACACTAAAAAGTCAATCCTGGTACTATTCACTTTACCCTTTATTTTGTCCTTATCATTAAAACTCAAAGTTTTCAAACCCTTTTCATTAGTTTTCCTACGATAGGTTAAAAGGAATATTTTCTTTTGAGCTCTCATTCTCTTTAGAGAAAGGGAATCCACATGGATTATATGAAGGTCAGTTTCCTATAGTTTCTAAGAGCTCACCCATTCACCTTTTAATTAAATTACTACTTGTATTATTTTATTAAATAAATCACTCGTGGTTATATTTTCTACTCAGCCATCTGTTTTTCTCTAGAAAATCCAAAGCCCTAGAGGGCAACACAAGTACCGGTGTCCTCCTCTTTCTAGTCACCCATTCACCTTTTCTATTGTCTCTATAGCCCTCTTCTTTCCTTTCATGCACTTATTGGAAAAGAATAAACTAGACACGATTTTTTGGTATATATATGTAGTACTCTTCTTTATCAACACCCATCTCTTGCTTTTCTCTAGTAAGTTAGCTCCTGAGTCATTACATCTCAATCTTTTTCATCGTTTAATTTTTAAGAAGGAGGGTTTCGTAGCTCTGGATCTTTAGCTATTATATAATCAATTTTTCTGAATCAGTAGCTAGCTAATATATATATATATATATATATATATATATCATTATGCGTTTAGGCTACAATAGCCGTGTTTTAGGGAATTCAAGTTGAACTGTTGTCCACATCAAAAGAGCATCTTTGCCATAGTGAAAATAAACGGGCAGTTCTCAGCATCTCTATATATATATTCTAGGCTATCCTACAATTAGTTCCGGGAAACTCAACTATTCCTCTGGTTTTGTTTTGGTGTGAATTAATTCATTTTGATGATTGTTTGTAGGTGCTAAATCTGTGGACATCGACTTGAAGCAGCAGAAGGCAACTGTGACTGGATATAACGTTGAGGCAAAGAAAGTGTTGAAGGCTGCTCAGTCGACAAAGAAGAAGTGTGAGTTGTGGCCTTATGTTCCGTACAATTTGTGTTCTGCTGGCCATTTGGTTCTCATCATTTCTCAAGAAGGCATATGACAAGAAGGCACCTCCTAATATGGTCAGGAAAGTTGCCGACACTTCAAACATCACTGAGACTGCCATGGACGACCGCTACACAGTCATGTTCAGCGATGACAACCCTAATGCCTGCTCTATCATGTAGCTAGATTATTAATATATAAAATCAATATATCTAAAATAATCATATTATAAATAGTGGATCAATTAACGAAATAGTGTGGTATGTGGGGTTGATATACGTGGGTTTTGTTCAAGGAGTTTAATTATTCAAGCTGTTGATTTATCTCTTTGGCTAAAGCTGTCATATTTGCGTGGAGCCTTTTGTGATTCAAGAGTAATATTACTCTTTTTTTTTTCATCTCTAGCAATATTGTAGGGATATCGAAAAGTGATTATAATTTAAGACATAAGCCCACATGTAGCTGGACTGAATATACAAAGAACCTGCCCCTTTCATCCCAACACAAAAAGAAAAAAGAAAAAAAAAGAGGATAGTGTTACAGAAAAGAAAAATGTTCTTTCACATAAATATAAATATAAATTATTTAATACTGTTCAAATGAGTGATTCAAATTTATAGTTTGACTAACAAAATAAATCACTTTTTAGTTATGCGCTATAGATTAATTAATTTATTTGGTCATAGAGATTGAGCATGCAAGACGTTTATGATTTCTTTAGACGAATGTTCATATGTGCATGGAGCTTTCAATGATAGTTACTAGAATAATGTTACATACATCTATGAGAAATTTTTTATTGTGACTGGAAACTGATGGTATATCACGTGTTTTTATATAAATAGTGAAAAATTGTATTTTTCAAGTTATTAATTTTTTAACACACATATCTCACAATTTGTTTAATGACACGTAATGTATTATCCCGTGTTCCGATTACATTTAAAAATCTCTTTACATCTATGATCTATGCAAACGCGAATAATTTCTGAACTTTTGAATCTCAAAACCGTGTTTTATTTGTTTGAATTCCGACACTTTGAAGTTTGAACCTTTCATTTTTTTGTGACTTGGGAAAAAAAGACCTTTCTAACTAAAGAAAACAACATCATCTCATATTTGCATCCAACATATTCGTGAATTATGTTTGTTCATAGTTTATTATGCGGTCATTTTTTTATCTAGTATTGTTTATGTTTATTTTTAAATAAAAAAATTTAAAATAATTTCTAACCGCACGATTTACGTTGAATATACAAGATTCACAGATCCCTGTGATCCTCACAAAGAGGATCTGGACTCTATTTGTATCTCCAGATGAGAGTGCATATTAGGATGTAAAACAGGTATACATCTCTTGTAGTAGAGATCTTGTGTTAAAAAACTAATAATTTAAAAAATAAAACTTCCATCTACTTATATAATGACACGTGAGGTATCAATCGTGGTCCGGACACGATGAAAAATGTTGGTCAAAAAGTTCTTTGATGAATAATTTTAAGGAGAGTAAATATGCATCATCGTGATCGAAAATTATAGATAATAACTATGTAAAATTTCAACTCCTTTGACACCTATTTTACAAATTCAGAAAGAAAAACACAATTTGCATTTCCCAAAATATAAATCAAAATTAAATGTGATTATTACATCTGATTAGCGAGTTAGTGAGACTAAATTCAAGAATAAATTTAATTATTCAAATAGACGAGTTAGTGTGGATCGAATTGAGATCCAAAGGTATTGGATGAATTAGTGTGGGTTGTTATGAGACAGCAACTCATATCTAATCTCAATTATTGTATGTTGGTATGTGCGGCTTTTCTTAAAGGCGCTCTTATTTGTACTGTGGCAAGGGATTTGAAATTTCCTATATAAATTTTTGGATAATGTTAAAGAGATTAAATTTGTAGACTAAATTTCGTAAAGAGTAATGTTAAGAAGACTAAATTTTTTAAACCAAATGATGTGTTACAAATAAGAAACAAGCACGTTAATCGACACTTAATTAATAATCCAATCATCTCCAACCACATCATTTAGGTTGCAAATTTGGTTCAAAAGATTTAGTCTCCCTAGCATCACTCTTTCCTAAATTAAATGACATAGAAGTTGATGAATGGAGCAGTGCTAGGTAGACTAAATTTGTAGGGGAAATGTTAGAAAGACTAAATTTGTAGATAAAATTTTAGAAACTAAAGAATATGGAAGTTGATGATTAGTTTATTACTTAAACAATGATAAACATGCTAATTCCTATTGGTGACATATTATTTAGTTTGTAAATTTTATCTCCAAAATTAGTCTTCCTAACATTACCCGATTTGTAGACAAAATGTCTAAACTAAATGATGTGTCACCTAAGAAATAAACACGTTAATCAACACTTAAATAATAATCCAATCATCAACTTCCACGTCATTTAGTTTACAAAATTTAGTCACTCTAGCATTACCCTTGGATTATTATTTAAGTGTTGATTAACGTATTTTTTTCTTATTGATGACACATAATTTAGTTTATAAATTTAGTTTACTTAGCATTCCTCTAAAATCTTAATTCATTTTTGGAGTTATTATTAATTAATAATTAAGTTTACGTAGTGTTGCAAAAAACAAATTATCGCTACTAATTTATCCAGGAAGATCTAAGAAAGTTTGGTAATTTACGGATTTTAATTAGAAATATATTATGAATAACTCATTAATATTAAGCGTGGTCAACTACTATATGAATTTATGGGTATGTAACTTTGAAAAAAATAGAAGGGAAAATTTGAAATAGGTCCAATTTTATAGGGACTTTTCATTTTTCTTTTTGCCCAATCTTGGGGCTTGAAAATCTCTTACTCGAAATGTAAATATAAAAGGATATTATAATAGCACAAGTAACGCTGTCGAACCATATGGACTGATTAGACCTCTACAAATTACTAGCTTAATGTGAACCCTAACTAAACAATGAAAATGCAATCTGAATTTAGATTTTTCAATTGAAAACTAAAATAACTTAGAAATGCAAAAAAGATAATGATAATTGATAGGTTGATTCATAAATAATGGGAATGGAACTAGGGATACCGATTTCACAGTTATAAGCCAATTCTATGAAAATTGAGTCAAAACGCATTCAACTTTCCAATCTGCAACTAAGGTTCATTTTACTCATTTATGGTCATCCATTTGATGTGTGGTTATGATCAAGTACTCCTAATCTGCAAGCTAGTTGTGATGTTCAATTTAGATTACCAAATAAGAATCCATTAAGAATAAGAAAACTTCAAAGAACCAAAGAAATCACATGGTAGGATGTATGCATAGCAGTTTCTTCATTCATTTACATGTCCACCATGATTAAGCATGATGTGTACTATAACCTTGATCAAATAATCTGTAAGAAACCCTAATGGTGATCAAACGTTAAGATAAACTAACAAATTAAACTATAAAATAAGTGAATGAAACAAGAAAACAGATTGATGAATCAAATACTTTAACTTAATAACATAGAATATTTTACAAGGTTACATCGAATTCTCTTACTATAAACTTAATATATATATCATGATCACAGAAAAATATAAATAAACAGCGCAACATAAGTGAAATTAAATTCATAGAAGAAATCTCTTGAAGCAATTATGATGTGGAAGTCCTTCAAGAACAACACGGTTACATGGTTTCTTCAGTGGCAGCGGCTTGTGTAAAAGTGATTTGAAACCTTAGTATTTATATACTAAATGGGGATGCATCTGATTGTAAGGTGATCCCAACCATTAAGCCAAGGTTTTTAACATTTTTCCTTATTTGGCTCCTCCAAATTAGACTAGATATTCTAATTCCTTTCCCATTCTGCTTTTGGTCTTCTAACCAACTAGATTTGTTTTGAATTCTTTATTTGGGCTTCAAAACTGTAAGATTGAAAAACATATAGAAAAATATCACATGAAGATTTTTTTTTTCTTCTCCCTCTCTTATCACATGAAGATTTTTTTTTTCTTCTCCCTCTCTTAGTCTCTCTCTCTTCTTCTTCTTCTTCTTCTTCTTCTTCTTCTTCTTCTTCGAACAATATTGGAACTTCTTTCTGTAATCACAGCTTGCTTAACATGATATCATCACTGGTATAGCTAATTGCGCGATTATCCAATCTTAGATTGCTTTCGTTCACCATTTCTGTTCTCACTACCATTTTTTGCTTTCTTTATCTTCTGTGGAGTTCTTGTAGTTCTTCATCAATTTTCTTGCTGTCTGTTTTTTTTGTGCACGCCAACTGTTTGACAAAAGTTCACCATAATCAATTTGCTACAAGTTTTCAGCTTTCTTGCAGCAATGGTTTATGCTTCCTAACTACAAATTGTTGAATCTCCTATTACCTTTATCATTTCCACTGTTTCAAGATCTGTAATAGTAAAACTTGATGAGACAAACTACTTGGTTTGACATTTTCAGATGCAGCTTTTGCTCGAAGGATATGGAATCATGGGGTTTGTGGATGGTTCCACGCCTTGTCCTGCTCGTTTCACATAGACCACATCTAGTGGATCTAAGATAGACTATGGTGCAACTGGTTCTTCCACAGAATATGATGACTACAAGATTTGGAAGATGCATGATCGAGCTTTGATGCAGTTAATTACTGCAACCCTTTCATCGCCTGCAATTTCTTGTGCCATAGGGAGTACTAGTGCTCAAGATCTTTGGACACGGCTCAAGGAGCAATTTTTTACTGTTACAAGAACAAGTATCTTTCAAATGAAATCAGAATTGCAGAATATCAAAAAGGGTAATGATTTTATTTCTCTTTCCTTACAACAAATCAATGAGGCTAGAGGTTATCTTTCTGCGGCTGGGTTTAAATTTGATGATGATGGTATTGTAATTCTTACTCTTAATGGTCTGTCATCTAAGTATAATACTGTTCGATCAATAATTAGAGGCCGGGAAAATGTTATATCTCTTAAAGATTTGTGATCTCAACTATTTGTTGAAGAAGAAATGATTGAAAGTACTTCTGCACCTTCATTTCTTACTGCAATGGCTACTGATAATGGTGGTTCTCAAGCAAGTTTCAAGGACAAATTTGGACACCAGAGTTCTTCCAATCATCATACTGGTGCATCTAATCCTGAAAGTTCTTGTAGGAATCAATATGGTGGTTATCAGTATAAACCATTCTTCAACAAAAACAAGAACAAAGGGAAGTTTCAGTATGGACAAGGTGCACCTAAATTTGGGAACAACAGGTCCTTTTACCCAAATCATGCTCGTGGGATTCTTAGTAATTCACCTACTCAGCAGTTGCCTATTAATGGAAATCCTTGTCAAATTTGTGGCAAATATGGTCATCTTGCAGATACATGTAGGTTTCAAAACACTTAGTTTGCAATTACCGAAGGGTGTGAAATATGTGGGAAAAGGAACCACAGTGCACATTTTTGTCATTTCA